CTCACACTTTCGGAGCAAGTTGTCGCTTTGCACATGTCCAGACCTCATGCCCCCTCTCCCCACCCTCACGACTATTGATCCGCCTCTCTTTGCTCCCTCTTATTGGTTCTACTCCTCACATCCTCCCCGTCCTGCTCCTTCTCCTGTTCCCCCCTTTCTCCATCTCCCCTCCCCCTCCTCTTTTTCCTGCTGCTCCCTTCCCCCTCACCCTTTCTTCTTCACCTCCCTCCTACTCCTCTGCCTCCTACTCCGCCTCTTCCGCGCCCTCCTCCCCCTCCTCTTCCGCCCCCTCGTCGTCGCCGCCCTCCTTCCGATGGTGCTCGTCCTCCTCCTCCTCCTCCTCGTCGCGCCCCCACCTTCTCCCCCCCCCCCGCTCCCTCGCCCTCTGCCCCACCCCCTCCCCTCGCCCTCCCCACTCCGCACTTCACCTCGCCGCCCCCCGCCCGCCGACGACGACGCCGGCGGCGGCGACACGGCGACGACACGGCGACGGCGATGCCGACGCCGGCCGCGGCGGTGGCGGCGACGACGCCTCGGCGCCCGCCGCTGCGGCCTCGGCGCCTCGGCGCCGCCCGCGGAGCAGGCCGCGGCGCCGCGCGGGCCGGCGGCGGCGGCGCCCCGCGGCCGCCCGGCGCGGCGGGGTGGCTGCCGTCGGCGTCGCCGAGGCCCGCGGGGTGCGCCCGGCGCGCCGACGGCGGCCTCGCCGACGGCGGCGGCCGCGAGCGCCGGCCGGCGCCGACGGCCGGTGCCGACGGCGCCGACGGGCGAGGGTCGCCGACGGCGCCGACGCCGGCGAGCGCAGCCAGCACGGGCGGTGGGGGGCGAGCGAGCTTCCAGGGTTGCCGTCTGCATCCGGGCCCTTCGGCCCCCCCTTGGCCACTGTTGTTGCTGGCCGCGCCCTGCTCGAGAGGTGTCGACGTGGCTTCCGCGGCCCTTGCAGCCTTAGTGTGCATCGTCATTACACGCTTTGTCTGTACGACAGCGCACAAACAGACTTGCGACGACGCAGTCGACGACACCGACTGTGCGCGCGTGCCAGGGGGAGGTGGGGTCACGAGGAGGAGGAGGAGGAGGAGGAGGAGGA